TTCATTATACAAATATTTACTAAGCTGCATACAAAAAATCAGCTGGTTATTAATAATTTTTATGATCTCGTTATTTGGACATATTCGGAGCGGAGGACGCTCCAGTCAAACCATCCATTTTGTAGGACAATTGTTTTTCCGAGTTTATTATCCAATTATCTTAACATTTCAATAAAAACTTACTGTTAGTCAGACAATTTCGACACTCCACCAAATTGACATGTTTTACACCTGTGCACTTCATTAGCTACCTCTATCGAGATTTTTCACAGGGAAGATTTGGGCGTCTTGTCGAACCGAACCTACTCACGAAGATTTAGCCTGTTATTAATCACTGAAAAAAACAGGCGGTGGCTGCTGGACTATTAGCTCTAGAAACGATCAGTTGTGTTAAAAATAATGGCCAAATTAAAGAGGATAATCGGGTGAAGTTTCTGTCTGATTTCTTCTAGGGTATAAATTATATATTGAGAATTGTCATGGATATATAATAAAGATTTTTACGAAGGAAGATGCAAGTGTCAATTTTACGTAATTAATGTCTGACACGTTATTTTATTTTTTGTGTTATTTTTGGAAGTTTTATCCTTGTCAGAATATAGTACAATACTTTCGCCATCTTGATAAAATTGCGTGATAAAAATTTTAATAACAAAACATTTATAATACCTATAAAATTACTACGTAACATGAATTCCATGGACTTAGGAAGAACGACACGAGAGAAGTTAATATTTACAAAATCCAGCATTAGGGATACACGAAGATGAAAACACGTTTTTAACTATCGATCGCTTCTTACATTCCGCAGTTGCATAACTATTCAAATGGTATTCAAAACACCATTTCTCAAACTGTTGTCGTACGCATATAATCGCGCTTTAGAAGACATTCATTGCCCAATTAATTACACCGGATAAGCCGGCTACGACTGGCTTAAAGAACCGTGAAATCTTGCTTGCTTAGGCGATACATTAACGGTCAACTAGTGGCCTTGATTTTTCTCGGGACTTTACAATCTTAGGTCGATGAACGAATACACTTCGGGATTCCCACCTAATAGGTAGGTACTCTGTCAACTTACTATAACTGACAACACGCTTTTTTACGTTTGAAAATCTGTTAAACGTAACTAAGCAAATTGATCGCGTTTTCTTTTGATTTTCAAATCTTTGTGCTCTAGATAGATTAATTTTAAGATAGAATTTTGTTAATAAGTTACTTGAAAATTATTTAAAACATTTACTTTTACTTTTAATTCTTATATTTGTTAATTTGTAATTCTCACAAAATTATCTAGAACAGCTTTTTAAAGTAGTTTAAATGTTTTTTTTTTAGATACAGTGTTACGGAAGTTTCGAAAGACTTATACTCGGAATTTTTAATATGTTAGATTGCAATTTTGAAGATATTGTGAGTAAAGTCAGAGAAATAAATACCAAGGAATATTATCGTATAAATAAAATTAGAAAACATTCTGATGACGTATGTAAATCGTGTATACATTTACTTAGACAATTTTCCAATCAGCAAACACTTCAAAACTCATCCACGAATGGGAATCCCCATTACTATTCCGCTCTAATGTGGAACGATATTATTAGCATGGTATTAGCATGTATTATTCATAATTAATATATATACTTCTCATTTATGCTACGCGTGTTGCATCATATATTTACATTGCATAGGAATCACTGCAAAAGTATCTTGATTCAACAAATTTATTTAGGCTATAGGAAGATAAAGTATGCTAGCACAATAAATTTATACGTTTTTTTGTCATATCCAAACAAAGTCGTTTTAAAAGTTATCTCACCTTCAATTTGGGGACTTCCAACGGTGGAACTGATGGCTATTACATGCACAACGTTTATACATTATCATTTCTTCCGAAGACGCATGATAACAATCTTGCATGAGAAGCGCAAGGTGATGCCACATCAGATTTGCACACTTTCGTCTATCTTAATCTTCTTGAAACGTAATTTTTCCAACAGGTATGAACAATTGTTTGCAAGGCGTAGTATATATGTTTCTCTTTTTGCAGTAGCAGATGTCAATTTTGTGAATTTATATTTACCAAAGCGTTTAATAAATTAATGCGATTTTGATTTTTCTTTTTTTGAAAATTATAAAGCAGTTTCGTCATCGCACTTAAATTGTGTAAATACATTACGCAAAATTATTTCAGTATAAATTACGTCAACCAGCAGGCGATCGGATTTCTTGATTGTTTATCTTTGTTAATCAATGGAAAAAACGTCTCCAGATAAACTCGATACCATCTTTATTACTAAAATTTCTTAATTTATTTATATTGTTACATAGCGAATGTCACAAGAGAAAATTATTTCATATGATTTTGTTGCGTATTCAGAAAATTGCTGATATTTTGAAATTAATTAAAGATCTCTGTTTATAAAGACTTTTTAATCAGCTATAAATACATAATATGAATAAATTTGCCGTTAAATTTGGTAAAAATAAAAATGTCTAAGAACGTAGTTTGACTACATATACTTCGTCGACACATTATTGTCATCATTCGTTATATACGTGTGTATGATAATTATTGTTTTTTTTTTTTTATTATTAATTTATTACGATGCTCTTTACATAAAATTTAAAATTCTACGCGTAATTGGTAGCGGGGAGTTTTTAGAATGCACCTTAATAATAAATGTGTCTCAACTTCGAATTATATGTATTTACATTATAATATTTGGTGTTATATCGTACATCCACGAAGTTCATATTTCCCGAGCTTTGCATAAATGAAATGCGTATAATGAAATGCGTATAACACAGAACGACAGAACCATTTATAATACAATATAATTTATCTATTCTTTAGAAAAAAACAAAGAAGATTTTATAATTTTAATATTTTTTTATTGTATTAAAATTATTTACTATATACTATAAAAGACTTACATATAGATTGTTGAATATATAAAAAAATGTTTATTTTTGAAAAATTTATTATATAATAAATCAATTTTATTATATCAGATTTTGAGTTCTACTCAAGTTTCTCAGGTGATAATACATCTACAAAGTTCATATTTCCCGTTGCTTTAAGTTGGATAAAATACGTATAGTAACACAATTATGTTATAATACAGCACAATATATTTAGAAATTTAGCAGGCACAAAGAAATCTTTTATTTCAATACTTTTTTATATAATCTATTACAATTAATATTTACTACAAAAAACTTAATGTTACTTATTTAATAGACTATTAAATATAGAAAATGTATAAAGAATATTTATTTTAATTGAAAAATGTATTATACATTAATCAATTTTTTCTCTCAATATACGTATATTAATTTCTATTTTCAAAACAATTATTAGATTTTGGATTCTTCTCGAAATTATCAAGTTTCTAAGATTTTATTTAATAGTTTTCTTAGTCTACATACACATATAAGCTATAATTGCGGATTATGCTAATATTAACTTTTTATATGTTATTATAAATTACGGTTGTAATGTATTCCACAAAGAGGAGGCTAAGCATATTTAATTCTTTAAAAAGTAAGTTTACGTATTAATTTAGATGTAAATTAAAACAAATTACCTGAAGGGTACAAAAGAAAAATCTATATATATTCGGAGTAATCTCAAGAAAAACGCAATTTTACGTTTTACGACATCTTTCAAAAAATTAGTACAAAATTTAGTGAATATCGAAACGTAGCTTTAGTGTTTACTTAGTATATTGGACTTTGATGTTTCTTCCCCACAAGCGCATGGATTATATGATTGTTGTTTCCCCAGCATGGTACATTATTCGGCCTTATTTCTAATGAATTGTTTTTTTATTAAAACAGATAAGAATTATGAAAGTTTTTTGAAAATGCCACAAGATAGCATAATTAGATTAATTTTGACGAAAAAAATTTAATCGGTTTTTCCTTTCATCTAAGAATCGTTAACAAGGGAACACCCTAAACCCGAACTCATCGATTTGGATGAAATTTTATGGGTACGTAGAGTCACTTAATATATAAATAACAGTATGCTTTATTTGTGCTCTATCGTCCTTAAAGGTCCTTAAAGGTTTGATTTACAACCTCAAAGTCAAAAAGGCGCTTCCATTTTTTCGCGTATAACTCTTAAACTACAAAGGATAGAGAAAAATGTTTAAAATAAAATCAAAGATTAAATTAAATCGCCATTTGCAGTCCAAGCCGGATCTTGGTGGCCCAATTATTCTATATTTCTTTGTGTATTACACATATTTTTTCCCTCAACATTATATTTTTTGCAACAATTTCTTTACAGTTATTTAGGTATAGTTAAATCGAATTGATTTAATTACGGGGTGAGAGTGGATTTTACTTCAACAGGAACTGTGTTATATAAGTCTGACAAATCTAGTCGCGCGATGCGCAGTTTACTAATGTTGAAAAAGATATGTGTAATACACAAAAAAATATAAAATAATTGGGCCACCAAGATCCGGCTTGGACCGTAAATGGCAGTTATTTAATTTACGGTTGTATAAATCTTGTATTATTGTTTAAAATAAAAGTTCAATGATAAGTTAAGGTCTACAAAGTAATATAAACAAAAATTTAAAAACAATTTATTGCAAAAAATATTTTGCAAATTTTTTTTTTTAATTTTTGTTTATACTACTTTGTAGACCTTAACTTACCATTAAATTTTTATTTTAAACATTTTTTTCTATTTCTTGTAGTTTAAATGTTATATGAGAAAAATGGGAACGCGCTTTTAATTTTAAGGTTGAAAATCATATCTTTAAGGACGATAGAGCACGAATAAAATATTCTGTTATTTATGTATCAAATTCACTCTACATATTTACAAAAGTTCATCCAAATCGAATTGTTTCCTTGTAAGTCAAACAATTACAATCTATGTCTAAAAGTTTAATATAAAAAGTAGTACAGCAATAATTTAAAGCTCGGTATAATCTAAATATACTAACAGACTGCAAATTTGCGTTAGTCTACTTAACTTTAACAAAGTATCTTACATAATAAATTGCACAGTCTTAAACAAAAATACTTCTATGTATAGCTTAATATATATTTTTTTTCACTCCCGACTGCTGCCAACCGAAGGTTGGCGAGCATGCGGAATAAGGAGTATGCGTTTCGCCAAAGTCGAAATTGTTGTTAGTAATGTCTGAGATTTGACAAATATTTAACAATACATGTAAAAAGACTTGGCAATTACACGAATAACATGCGAGATGTCCAAAGGATATTGTATTTTCATCTTAAAAGCTTCCAGAAAAACTCAGTTTTTCAACTCGCCGACATCGATCGCTTTAGGAGTTATTCCTTATATGGCTGAGGCCGTTGTTTTTTCCTAACAGAATACATACGAAAAATATACTAATTTTTATAAATTTATTTTAAAAGGCAGTTTTTCCCTGTAATACTTGAATTCATTCAATACATCCAGAATGTTCTAAATAATTTAATATAGTTTTTCTCTAAAGCAATTAATTAATTACAGTAATTCATTTTTCAGCTTAATGTTTTTTTATATATAAAGAAAGACAACGGAAAATGAATATAACTTACCCGTTTGGAGACCCGCCGTAGGCAGTGGCTACCGAGCTGGCAATTCCGCCTCTTGACGTGGAGAAACTATTTGCAATGGCAGTGATGGCACCAGGAAGAGACCCAGAAGAGTACCCAGCGCGAGTGGCCAGTCTCGGAAAGCTGAAGACCATAGGGAAGAAGTTGTTCAGATGGGGATGACCCTGGCGGCGTTTGTTGCCCTTAAAAGGTACGAACGGCACGACCGGTTCGTCGTCTTCCTCATCCACCTCGTCTTCGTCGTCGTCATCGTCGTCGGCGTGGACAGTTACGGGCGTCTTATGCGTCTTCTTGAGATGATGCACTTTTGGTCGGGTCGCGGACACTTCCGTGGCCGTGATCGGCTTCTCCGTCGGTTGCGCAATCTCCGTGGTTAACGGAATCTGCTCCTCTTCCTGCAGGAGTAATGCAAAAACCCATGTGTAGTATTTCAAAGAAGAGCATTTACTAAATAGGTTGATATTTATGACGTCCTATTTGAATGTACAAAGACTGTGAGCATAAACTATATAATCTCATACTTTTTAATCATAAGTCTAAAGTAGACTTTGGCATAAATTATAGACACTCATTATATACTATACACTCTTATTTTATTCCTCTAAGAGATTCTGATTGTTATGCGTTTATTTATTAAAAAATAATTTTTGCACACTCATCGAATATAAATCTCGCGAAATCATCGTACCTGAGGGGTCAGAGAATCCTCATGATGATGATAATGCGGCTCGTCGTGATGAATCTGCTCCTTCTCCTCATCGTAATGATGATGGTGCTCCTCCTCGTGACGCTGCACCTCGTTTCGATGATGATGATAGTCGTGTTCCTGCTCCTCTTCGGGCGCCAATGCCGCCTGCGCCTCGGCGCTCGACACTTCCGATTCCTCGATCGGTTCCGGGCCGCGCTTGAGATGCGGCGTGTGCCGCACCCCGCCGAGGAAAGCTTCGCCGCTCACAGCATTTCCCTGCGCGAACACGCCCGTCGCCTGGCCGCCGTTACTCGTGCGACGTATCGGTCTGTAGTAACCGGTAAACATCATCGTTCTGTGCGGATAAGGCCGTACGGCCGTCCTCTTCTCCCTCAGGAACATTACGGGGTTACCGTAAGCGTCCAGCGTGACGGAAACTGTAAATAATTGATGCAAGTGTTTAAAGTTAAAAATTGTTTATTATTAGTTTTCAGCTTTGCTCTTGAGAAAGGAATCTCGTGTCTTTGTGTTTATTACTAGAACTAGAACAATTATTGTCATTTACGTTTGAAATGTTGGAATGTATTGTTTGATACGTAATTTATTGTTCTTTGTTATTAATTGCATCCGAGAAACTTGGAAATCTTTTTGTGATAAGATAACTATACAAAATGTAGTTGTTAAAATCCAAGTTAAAAGAACGTTAATTTCCAATGCTTACCAGGCTCGGCCGGAATCACCCTCGACTCCGCCATCACGATCGTCGACGCGATCGCGATCAGAACAAAGCTAATGCACCCAGCCATTCTAGCTCTGATTTCAATCCGTCCTCAAGATCTTTCGTAACAGTTTTTCCTTTACCCCGATCACTAGTTCGACCAGAAATCTTTCTCGTGATCTTCGACAGAAAATCCGGGATAATTAAACGGTTTACTTCCATGCACCGATCTTGATGCATCAACTTTTTGCACGATGCTGGTAGTCCTTGCCGTCGCAATAGCTTTTATACCATGAAGCACACGGACACGCAGGACGATGGGATGGGTAGATACCTTGATACGGGGGTATGGGATGGGTCGGATCCATTGGTGGATACACGGGGGATACGGGATTGTCGAGCGGGTGCCCCACCAGGCCTTCGTCAAGTGGCTTCGCTTATACGGCCAGGATCGCGATAATGCAAACGCACGCATCGCCGAGCGCTACGTGATTGTCATGACCGATGTGACCACGTGAATTAATTGTGATCCGTGCCGATGACAATCTAAATTCGCGAAATCGAACCGATACGGGAAACGGGTCGTGATAATCCGTCGATCGTGCTCCTCTGCGCATGTAAATGACATGGAATTATCGGTGGACGCGCATATGTATGTCTTCTAAAAGTATAAAGTTCTTATAGATAATCGACACATGCGACAGTATCTTATAACACATGCGATGTATAGGAAATGTTTTGACAAACTTAACGTTGATAATATTTTAAGACCTAAATTAGGGGGAAAAAATCGCAAGTTTAAATTTGGCTTTATACGATATAGGGTAGTATATTTTTCACTTAACATTTTTTATCAAGATATTTAATTTATATGGTTTTGTCAAGCAGGTCACATCTTAATAATCTCTACAAAATCTTTGTAATGACTGAGGAACCGAATAAGTATTATTTTTGAAAATTATATAAAAACAAAATATCTTTATTTTAAAATTCTTTTATATTATAAAAATCTGACGCAATGACGACCGAAACTAAAGGCGCGACAATATATATGTATAACGAGTTTCTTGATGGACCAAATCGAGCTCGCAGGGACCGTAGGTTAAAGTCCCCTAATTTAATTCATTCATTACTTTTTTTAATGACCCATCGTAGTCAATGACGGAAGAGAACATTGAGCGCCTAATAAATCCTGATTCAGAAAGAATCGGGTTGCCTCGAGGCTTTTGGCTCGAAACTCGATGACTGAAACAAAGTGTTTGTAAATGAATTCGCTTGGGAAACGGCGGGAATGTGAATGGACGATGGTTTACGAATGTCGCGGAGGGCCGATGGCCCCACACTTTCCCTCTTTCGCGACGTGAGTTACTGAGTCACCCCGATCAAGACGCGATAGAGGAATCTAGCGTTCCAGACAAACAGACTCGCGCGGGGCAGCCTCATGCATTTTCAAAGGAAGAAAGCCTCATGCGTTCTAAAAATATACGCGAGAATCAAAGGATTTTGCTCGCTCGCCATTTTCCTCTCTGATAATACCCCTTCTGGGAAAGTTCTCAGATTGACAATAAAGTTAAAAGGTTGATAAATATTGTTACAGAAATTACGATTAGCAAAAATTTAAATTTAATTTTAAATTTAAATTTAAATTTAAAAAAATGACATAAAATTTATGATCACCGTAGAAATTCAAATTTAAGCCGCGTGAGTAAAAAAGCCGGCTTAGTGCTTCGGGAAGTTACGACTGAAAGATGCGCTGCAGCATTCGTCACAAACATAAAATATGAATAAAAGCAGGGAGACGCAAAGAGAATACGTCGCTTGTGCGTAGGGATTGAAATAATACCGCGTCTGCCTCTGCAGCTGATGATGATGGAACGCAGTTGAAGGGAGACTGACACATCAAGACGGATCCGACTACGAGCGCGTTTTACGATTCCAGACACGACGGTCACGGCCACCACCACTTGGACTCTTACGGACTTCTTGATCATCCCCGAAGAATTATCGTCACCTCTGACCAGCCGTACCCGTTCGGACGAGTATGACTGACATAATATTAATATTAAGAAGTTGCACGCGCTCAACACGCGGTGCGTCGTGTAGGGAGTTACGTCAAACTCGCGTCATATTATTCTTGGATGAATCCGGCACTTTTGCATAAATTGAAACCGTTTGTTCAGCTGTTCTAAGAATAGGTAAAACTTGCTATTTTTAAATGGGAACTTTTATCATATAATCATAGAACATCTTTAAATGTTAATATATTAATTAGAACATTTTTATCCTTTCTATATTATTAAAACTTTATACTTTTTCCTATATCGATAAAACTATTTTAAAAAATACACAAGTAGATTTTTAGACATTAAATACGATTCCGTTTACCAAATTGCTCTATCATGTCACAATTTTTAAAAATCTGTAGTCAATAAAGCTATTATACAAAAAAGGGCTTTTTTAATGTATTTTGACATATTATAATTATCGATATGTGACGTGAGAAGTTTTATTGCAATCAAAATTAAGTACGTTATTAGGACTTTTGAATTCTTAAAGCTCAAGAATCGAAGAATTGCTTGTAAGTTTCGTATTTGCATTCGCAAATTAATTTGACAATTGCGATTCCAGAGCCTGCAATAGAAACATCTCGTAATCTAGGTATACGAGTCCGGAAAATAATGCGTTCGGAGAATGTGCTGCGGAGATTGATTTCGATGCTCTCTGAGAAGGAAGAGGCGGCGATGCATAAAAATGTTCCGAGAATGATGTATGAATTTTGCGATACCAACCACGATACGCGCGCCTATCCTCTGACAAACACAGGCATACTTTTTGAACAGCCTGGTCACGCTCGGAAATACGATATGCGTGACTTGGTGCGATTCGGGGTTGATTCATGAAACGGACGCGGCACCGCGATACGTATATATTTATATAACATCTGCGATACCGGAATACGAACGTGATAACCGATAAGCCGCTTAACTGACGAATGGGACAATAAATATTGTCCAAATCCTTAAGTGCGCAGTTTTGCATATATGCCAAATGACTTTTTGATGCTTGTTTACATCTGTAAAGAGCTTTCTCTACATGTACTTCGTCGATTGTCTATACTATGAAAAAGATAAAACTAGGAACACTATGATGAAAAGGGTAAAAAAAAAGGGTTCATTTAGTAAAAAAGAATTTTTTAAATATTTTTTTAGTATTGCTTAAGCAGTTATTAGTGACAATCGTGGCATAGAGAGATATGAAAGATACTAAGGCACAGAAAGATACTACTCCAATAAGAAGATCTAAGTTCAAATTTGATCACAAATTATTAATTTTTATCCAATTACTATTTTTGGGAAGATAATGACAATCCACCAAGAATATCTTGCCATAAGACCCCCCTTCTCTCCTCTATAGAAAGCCGTTCGGAATCAGTGTTAAGTTGTAGGCCCCATATATCTGACGCACAGACGCAGGAGTGTCACAACACTCGCAATACAACAATAAGAAAAAAAAGTAGTGATAATTATAATTTATTTAAAAAAATACTCAAAATGTTACAAAAAATTGCGCATTTGAGAGCTAATTCTTTGAGGATTTGTGATCCCATTAGAATCTTCCAACTTCTAACGCGCCAATAAAGCCCGAAAGCCGAATTAAACTCCAAAAATCGTTATATTTCATGAAAATTTATTCGTGATTCTTGCCAATAAATTTTTAACAAATTAATATTTTTGTCACAACATTTGATGACTGGTTTTACAGCATACCTATTATAAATAAATCATGTAATACGGAGATTTTTTGCGCGTGAAAAAAGAATTATAGTTCTAGAAAGTTAAGAGAGAAATGTATATAAGAGAGAAATGCCTCTTTTCTTTCTTTTCTAATACATCACTGAGTTAAAATGTACTGTATAAATATACTGTATAAATGTATAAATAATCGATAGTCTAGTCTAGTTTAAAGTGGCACATGGATGACTTGGAAACAAGGCAAAACGAGTTCAGTGACCGTACAGTACATCTGAAACTAATTTGTGAATAAAGCGTTTTTTTAGACGAAAACGGAAAGCAGGTGCGCCTAGTACCGTTGAATCACAATTATTCTGAATCTTTTTTAAAATTCGCGAAACATATCAGATATGTGTTACATGTAGAGCTCATAAAAGATATAGATTCAGCTGCATACAAAATATTTTCTTTACAATTCATTCACGAGTTTAAGATCATTATAGTATTATCATTTATTGCTTTAACAATAAGTGGTTTTCTTCGTTGACATAAAATGAAAACAGTCGTTTCGTTTTATCCAGTTACATTTATTTGAAAAATACATTAATTGAAAATTAGATATTAATGGTTTAAACGATATAATTTAATTTTACTTTGTTATTTCACTATTATATATATTATCAGAGTAGATTATAGTGCTATTTTCGCGAATTACTCCTCCTGCAATTGTTTGCTTATTCGCTGTACAATAAATTCATATCTCGTGTACGGGGCCAGTCTCGAATCTCTTCAACGCAGAATTAAAAAGCAGAAATCTCGGAATTCCCAGGATTTCAGCGGTGCACTTGACTCCCGCTTTCGCGAATGTTTGCGCGGTTTTGCCGACGGAATCTCATTTGGTGCCATCGCGCAGGCTGAATTAAGATTAGGCGATGTCGAATTACACGTGCTGTGCAACGGCATACGCCCGATCGGCTCACGCGCGACAAGCCGTCGAAAACGTGAAACATACAGATCGTACTACTTTGGTAGCCTCGCCTAACTCGAAATCTTGTCGAGCGATCGGGCTGGCAAGTGATACTGATTAATTCGTGACGCAAGTCGACGAGTGATACGAATCTGTCGCCCATCATTCGTCGATGCGCGCGTCATTTGCTCATCAATTCCGAAGTGACGGGAGTAAGCCAAATGCATCAATCATTCAAGAAAGCCTGGAATTAATATTTTTTATTTGACACGCTTTTATTTTTTTATATTTGCAAATACATGTTTATTTTTTTTACGTGTATATTAAAATCAAAGAAAATTCTTTAAAAAACATCTTTAAAGGACATTTGCCTGAAATGTCTAAGCACTGGAAACTTGCACCTCAGCTTCCAGAAAACATCATCTCGGTGTACACGTGTAGATATCCACTATCTTATTTGGAAACAAATCACGAAGAGTCCGGTAAGTCCGGTAAGTCCGGTAAGCACGGCGGGTTGAAAGACCGCATAACATCCCGTGGATTGCGTTCATTTTGCAAATTTTCTAAATAAAACGGACGAGAGAGAGATTTGTATCGAATCGCAGTATAGTACGTGTTGCCTTAAATGCGCATTCTATTCAGTGGCGTAGCCGGAACAAAAGGATCGGATTGTGGGAATTCTGGGCAATCTATAATGAATATGCCATAATAAAGCTAAAAAGATTATTTAATCGAAAATTAGAAAGAGGAATATTTTGCAAACAGAGATAATTACATATTTATTTAAATTTTGAACAAATAACGCTAAAAAAATTAAATTTTTAAATAATTAAACAATTATATTAAAATAAAAAACGTGTTATTTTCTAAATAATAACATAAATATTACTGATTCTCTCTCTCTCTCTCTCTTTCTCTCTCTCTCTCTCTCTCTCTCTCTTTCTCTCTCTCTCTCT